AGGGACTAATTTTTGGCACCTGATTCCGACTTGTAGCTTTAAAGGGTTTTGTAAAGTATACGTAAAGTTTAGCGAACAACTCACTTTGATGCCATACAAATATTGTAAAGTTGAAGTGTAACAGGAAAAGTGCGAGCTCCTTATATGAAATCTCAAATCGGTGTATACAGTAGCGGTCAAAAGTGTTCGCCGAAACGGTTTTCCGTGCTTCTCTTTTTTTGCCAAAAAAATCAATGGTGGCCTCGAAAATTTTTTTGAATATCCTGATTCTTAAGACTTGAGGATATAAAACACTAGAAAACATAGTATATCAATCTTTGGAGGGCGTTGCTCAAGCGAGAAAAAATAATGCACTAAAAAATCGTTTCGGCGAACACTTTTGACCGCTACTGTATATCAGTATCAGTTGATTTCATCATCTGAATGAGAGCCATTATATTCTGCACTCATTTTCTGAAAGCAAGACCTCTTGCTTACTCCGCTTGCACGGTTCTGCACCCGTAGATTCAATGGATCCGTCGGGAATTATCTCCACCTCAGTTTCGTTTTTGAAACATGTCTGTCAGAGATCACGATGTCTGCAGGATTTGAGCTAAATTGGACTCAAATCGGCTTAGGCAAGCGATGTGCGTATGAAGTGAATGAGACAGAGCTCAGTAGTTCGTCGATCTAAGGTATTTTCATGTAGGGTCGATTGTGAGGCATGAATTGTGTGATGGAGAAGGCTCGGTCCTCATATTCTGTTGATCCATGTCAGAGGCTGACCTTAAAGCTTCCAATCCGATACGCTTTATTACTTACTTCAATTTAAACCTTGGTATTAGCCCGACCAGTAGGATGGATACCCTGCCGCGCATTTTTGAGTCGCGTCGGTGAAACGGCTTCTGGGCTTCGAGACCCCTCTTTCTCACTCTAGGAGGAACTACCACTTGGCATTTTCTCCTGACCCGTAGCTATGAAAGAAGATTCTACGATAAATTTACGGTAGAAGCGGAAGTATACTCAGCATAGGGGGAGGCAGGTCTTCTAATAGTGTGGAATCACCCTTTCGTTGGCTAAGGGTGATCCCGTAGATCTAGCAAGACCTCATTGTGGCGTTCGCGTCGCTGCCCGCCTTTCGAACTAGCTACCCCTTGCCGTCGGCTGTAGCAATACTGGCTGTTAAGCAGAGGCAGAGCATAGTGTTCAAAGTGATAACGTCAGCAGCCGATGAGCTTGCCTGATGCGGAAATCAATGGGCAAAAAATATCCCAGTTCTCGGGTCCGCAGGCCTTTTTCTCCCAGTCTTTCTTTTCTCTCAATCTTTCGAGCAAACTCTAACTGATTTAAAATGGACTGCCTTTTTCGTCTGGGTGAATCTGCGCTTTAGACCCAAATACAGAACCGCATTGTGAGTCAACCCGATGAGTACCACCAACGATCATCGTAACTTCCCTTGCACCAAGCATTTATAGTATGATCAGCACATTGGCCACTGACTGTTAGTTTAAAGCCTCTTGCACTTACTGAACCGCGTGGCTGTTTGCGCATCCTAATTTGGAAATTCCGTCAGAAGTATTGGCCGTTAAAAGCATCAGTGATACTTTCCGGTCAATTAGAAACTTCGCTCGTCTAACAAGTAATAAGAAGTTCTTCCGCATATTGAAATAGCGCACAACCTACTCTTTCCAGCAATGCATAGCAGTAAAACTTTGGAAGACGACGTGTGCAAAAAAGCAGCAATAAAAATTGGCATTAATTTCCAAACAACCCGGGTGCGCCATAAATATGGTAACAAAGTATTCATGGCAGAGAAACCGTATTTTGGAATGAACACGATAAAAGTTTGCAGATATATTGTCTGCGATGCAGCGAACGAAATATTGCAAGGCCATTAATTGTGGTCACTTCCAAGAGGAGTTTTAGCTTGTAGACGCTGGGGATCCATTTTAAGGGAATCTGAACAGCAGTGGCAGTTATGCGACTCAAAAAGGTTGGCAGGGACGCTATGAATTGTGGTTGACAACCGACACGACAACGCCTCACACATCTACACGCGACCTCAATTACAAATGCGCTGCTGCCTGCGTCTCGATATTTCTGACTGCTAACTCTCTCTTAGCAGACACTGTCTCATAAATTCGCGTTCAAAAAATTACCCGCATGGTCGATTTTCTCAGTGGCCTCTTCTCATTTTTTACCACAGCTACTGCCTCATCTCTCTGAAAGGTCAAAGGTGTGAACAGCCATCACGAGAAGCAGTTGTTGACAAAACTTAAGGCCCAGCTCAGGACATCAGAGACTCGTACCCTGATATCCTGCTATTCGGGAAATCGTGGTACCATTCACAACATCGGGCACCATTTCACCCCAATTCAGCTTCTCTGGTAAATTTACCACAGCTCAAATGCAGAATTTGCGAGCAATTCACGATGAAAAAGCAACCCATTTCAAATTAACCTAGGATGGTGAGTGGTACACGAAAGAAGGAAAACCATGAGAAACGGCCCAGAACCCGAGAAATGGGACCCCTTCCTTGCCCGTTGATTTGCATTGATCTCATCGCTGTGCCCTCTTCAACACTACGCTCTCTCAGCTATCTAATCACTCGCCACGTATAGACCTGCGGCGAGTGATCAGATGATCGGTGGGCGTGCACTGGCCACCGCGCCAAGATTGAGCCATATAGGTCGCCGAGGTCAAATTTTTCGGTGCCAATTGCGCTTCAGTTCGCACCCTCAGGAGGTCCGCGGGTCCCTCAACTAGGTGAATTACTCCTTCGACCTTCATTCTAATCGTGAATTCGTCCTTTAAGTCTCACAGTATCGCACCTCCCACGCTTGGAGATTTCTCTTTCTCACTCTAGGAGGGACTACTTTTTGGCACCTACTACCTATTACCTCCCGAATTGTGGCTTTAGGGGTTTTGTAAAGTATACGTAAAGTTCAGCGAACAGCATAAATTGTGCAAACAACAGCATTGTGAAACTTTACATGCATTATAAACTTGAAATGAAAGTGGAAAAGTGCGAGATCCTCAAATGAAACCTCAAATAGATACACAGTAGCGGTCAAAAGTGTTCGCCGAAACGGTTTTTCGTGCTTCTCTTTTTTTGCCAGAAAAATCAATGGTGGCCTCGAAATTTTTTTGAATATCCTGATTCTTTAAGACTTGAGGATATAAAACACTAGAAAACATAGTATATCAATCTTTGGAGGGCGTTGCTCAAGCGAGAAAAAATAATGCACTAAAAATCGTTTCGGCGAATACTTTTGACCGCTACTGTATATCAGTATTAGTTGATTTCATCAGCTGAATGAGAGCCATTATAGACTGCACTCATTTTCTGAAAGCAAGACTCCTTGGTGATTAAATAGTCGGTGAGCATACCCTGCCAACCGCAGCAAGAGGGAGCCATGCTAGACCGCCAAGTTCAAGTATTTTGCTGCATTTCATGTCATTCCGCACCCGGACTGACAGAGGAGGTCCGTCTATCTCCCACCAATTTCCTCTTCTTCGACCTTCGTTCTCAACGTGGAATCCTCCTTCAAAGGAGGCCCTGAGATTCCGCCCTGCTTTGCTCATTACCACATTAGAGTTCACTGAAGATTGAGGCCTTAATCTTAGCGTTTCCTATGGCTTCTCGTGCTTTCCTTTCCATTTCCAGTTCATTCCGCAGCTCAGTCATAACTACGAAGCGCTCACACCAGTTTTATCTCGTCCTTCAGGTTTTCCCACAACTCAGCTCTTGTGATAACAATCACAACGAAAACTGTTGCTGTACAACAGCCGTTATCCAACGGCCAACACAAAATTCGTCTTCAAACCTGTAATCAAGTTATGAAAAACAAACAAATAGAAGATGAGCTGGAGAAGTTGTTTTGAGATTGGAGATTCCTCTGAACGCCTTCATGGAAAGCAGATCATTTCATAACTTTGAGATTTCACGATTAGAAATCACAAGTTGTTTGTTCATGGAATTACCAAAATAACGAAGCTGTTTTGTAAATGAATTCATTAAGGTCAATTTTCGCTTATATCTGGATGTATGTGATCCTCGCTGTGACATCGCCGGGAGAAATCGAAATTTGGGAAGGACTGCTCACATTTGCCTTCTTCCCACTGTACTGGTTCACGGCCGTTGGATTGCCGATATCAACATAATCACAGGTAAGTGAGAGATGCGAGTGGTAGGTCAAGAGCTAAAGCTAAACCCTACCCTATTTTAGAACCTTCGAATTCCTTCCTCGCGCGCTATCAGCACTGCTGGATCTCATGTGTATGATTGCCAACCGAGGTGAGGAGTCTGATGAAAGAATCATCAAAGCAAAACAACGAATCACAACAGAGCTCGAAGGATTTTCCATGGCTGAAAGCTGCCTTATTGAGTTTTGCTGCTGTTTACTTTTCCATCACCATTTTGAAAACATTTTGCATCTTATTGTATCAATATTGAAAAATTACGTGGTTGCAATGAAATTCAATAGCAAAGTAGTTGCGTTCTCCGCAGGGTTGGGAGCCCTTGGAACCGCTCGCAATCTAGGAGATTACGGTGAGCCTCTGTATGGCCTCAAGCATGCCTGTTTGGCCAACCAGTTTTATGCCATTGATCTGGCCCATCAAGCAGCCTGAGGGGCTCAATAGAGGCCCTACCGTAATCTCGTGAATTGAAGATGGTTCTTCTGCTTCGGCAGAATTAGTGAGTCTAATCCAATGCTTCGTCTTTGAGCCGGATTTCGTTGATCCTGCTGTCCGAGCATTCGAAGAGCACAGACGCGAGTTCATAGAGTTGATGAGGGAGATCCGGAAGAAGAATCCACATATATCACCCACGGAATTGCAGAAGCAGGCTGAGTACGAGATGATAACAAGGTCTGTATTCAAATCACTTTGGGTTCGAGGTGTCTCAGAGGTGTGCACTGAGTTATTCAGAGGTCCAAAATCGCGTGCGTTCTACCGTGTACAGGCTACTAGACGTCTAATTGGCGGTGGAGACATCGTGAAGAAGCGAATCGACAAAGAACATAACAAAGCTATCGACATGGTGCGAATACACCTGCATATCTATTGCACGAACTAATTTTTCCTTCACTAACATACCCACACTGCATGTTGCTTTCAAGTACGACCCATAAGTGCCCTGATTCGGGCGGAAATGTCGACCTCATATGATGTATGTTGGGAGAAACCGAGTGAGAGAGAGTACGAGTTCTATTTTTGGAAACTATTGCATGCCGTCAATATTCTGCAGCTTTTGTTGAATGCTTTCATAGCCCATCGAGGCTAAACTTTCGCATTAGGATAAGCTAGACGATTACTAATAAACCTATAACTCCAGATCTCATGACAATATGATCAGTCGGCGCTATCGCAAGATTCCCGGGCAAGTTCCAGAAATATAAAGGATAAAAGGATAAAAAGCATTTGCCGTTGATCAATCCCTTTTGGGATGCGGCACGCATTCTACTTCCATTTGTACATTCGTAGTGGCGTTTGAATGCGATGTGGCCTATACAATGACTTGCGGGGGCCAGCCGATGTTCAAGTCAGTGTTTTTATCCTCCCAGACAAGTCTGGTACCAATTAACCGACCCCGGAGGGATGGAAGGCTTGGTTGGCCCGGGCGACTCACGACCCAGGATTTGATCCCCGGACCGCTCGCGTGGTGAGCTGGTACTTACCACTAGCACCATCCCCCCCACTAAGCCTGAGGAGGAGCAAAACTTCGGAAAATGAAAATTTCTCAACGCACACCTGATCATTTTCCAGACCTCCCCTAGGCTTGGTCCGATTCCACAAAGAAGGTGCTTCCTGCCGTTTTATATGCCATCAGTGCCCCCGTATCTTGCGATAGCGCCTCATCAGCCTTAACCTGTCTATACTAACCGCATCCATTATGCACAGCCTGAGATTTTTCAGTTGGTGCAGGCACAAGAGAAGCAAACAAGAGAAAACACACATGCAAGATATTCTTTGATCCAGCACATTACACAGTACTCGAGAATGTCGGATCATTTGACGTGGTTGTTGGCAGGTGGGTCCGGATAGTACAATTAAAAATCAAAATGAATTCAGACGTAAAGCCTGATTTGCAGAGCGGGGGACCAAAGATGGTTCCAACCGTGATGGTGATTAGCTAACACCCGAAGAATTGTACCGGGCCAACGCTGGATCGATATGATGTCCTGTCAAGAACTCTTACGTTTCTTATCCGGATGACCAGGACTCATGGTAGCCGGGTTAAGCCATAATGATTTCGCTTTAAAAAGTACTGCCAAACATAGGCACTTCAATATCTTTGTAGATCAGTTAGAAACGAAACTATATTTACAGTGAGCTTTACAGAAAATTAGCATCGACATCGTAGACGACGACGTGTTCGAAGAAGACGAACATTTCTACCGTCATATGAGGAACCTTCGTGTTCGTGACCAAGAAGACGGATCTGGATCCGTGGACCCGGTCCGGAATCGGAGGACTTGCCGTGCCACACTGCTGACGAATGGCCTGCCACTGCCAGCACTTATGATTCTACGGTATGGTAAAAAGTTGGGTATGAAGTACTACCGTAGTCCAGCATACTATTCCGACAATCTTCAGATGACGATCACGCCGGTGTGTTCTCGTTTGAGCACGATCACTATGAAGTTGTTGAAGAGTTGTGGTTTCTTGTCCCTCAGAGTTCAGCGGCATTCGGGAGCCAGAGGAAAGGTTGTGATCCCATATAGGTAGGTGATTAGAGGAAAACGGGTATGCAATAGCAATAACTTGAACGGCTTCCAGAACCTATGACGGATCCGCTATTGGAGACAAGCATTTCGAAGCCAGGGAAGGAGAAGTGACGTTCGATGACAATCAAACTGAGTACGTTTAGTGGTTGTTCCTGTTAAGCTCAATCTTGTACAGGGCACACAATTTTTATTAACCTAGTTTTCGGCATGTATGCCCTTGTAGAACACCTACACAAATTACTCCACCATCTGTACCCTATTTGAGTCTTCCGGGCCTCAAAATGCAACTCCAAATCGAGACAGAAAGGCGAATTTCACTTGGATCGCGAGGCGTTCAGGTCTAATTCTAGGTCAAGTGGCCAGAGTTGCGGGAGGTTAGGGGGCTTAAGCCCGACGTTAGATTTAGGCTTATGTTTGTGCTTGGAAATTAAAGGAATCCTTTGCGGAAAATTCTTGCATTCTTTCTCAACATGAGTGTGTCACTTTGTCACAACAGCAATCACAAAGTTTAATGTATGACCAATCGGTTTCGACGGGAAGCAAACTTACAATATATACACTCTATGGACAATCAGGTAAAATGAACAGGGATGCGCGTTAAATGCGTGCGGATTTTTGAGAGATGGAGCAAATTGATCCGATGGATATCGTAATAGTAGAAGTGTGAGATGTCAATGCAATAAGTCAAATGGCCAGAACGAATTTCTAGTGACGGCACTCCGAGAACCAAGTCGAAGCATTTCCGTCACTAGCAATTGTGACAGATGTGCGGCGGTACTTTGAACACGTAGCAGCGCTTCCGATTTTTTGAATTAATTTTCAAAAAATATGCGAGTTTTTCGGCGCTTTTCATCCCTTACCCGTGGCGAAATGAAGTCACACAGCAGTGGATTTCTATGGCCTGAAATAGAACCATTTCTCCGTGAAGGATTCCTTTGAATCTTTCTAGTCCTAATGAAGTGCCACAGTCAAGACCCCCGCAGTCTGTTTTCGGCATTTGCCCATTTTAGCCTTCCTTTTACTTCCGCGCTTTTTTCGGCTTGAGAATTTCGATCAGAAGAAACTCACAATTATCAGCTTCGAGAATGGAGGACTTTCCGCTGCTCCCTTCCCATACAATATGTCCAGGTGCACACACATGGGATATCTGCTCCCATCTCCCGAACGTTGTGCTTTGTGTGTCAAGGTAACGTTGTCTGGAAGCGCCTAACAAGAACGAAAGGAAACTATCAGTCCTAGGAGTTCTTTGAAAAAACACCTGGAATGAGAGCGGAAACATTTTTCAAGACATCTAGCTTTGATGAGAATTTGTACGAGTAGTGCTAGCATTTAGTACCCAGCATTTCCCCTTCACAACTTCAGTGAGCTCAGCTGTTTCCCTTTCAGCTTTGATGTTTTCAATTATATATAGTCTCATTCTCTTTGATGAACTCGACATCGAGGTCCGCTGGTTCTGACAAACTCTTGTGGTGATGTTCCGGTGGGATCGCCCGATTACGGAGCCTGGAAAGTCGAGCCACTTCGTATAAATCCCGACTAAACGTTTTCGCTACCCTGCAGAAGCTCAAGATAGAATAATACAGTTTAGTAATGATTTTTATGGGTTCTTCCATGAGAAAGCATTGATTGAACACCCGACTGTTACTGTTCCATCAAGGAGAACCGGTTTTTCGTGTTTTTTGTCGGCGTCTACAGTAGGATTGAAGGTGATGTGAAGGGGAAATGCTGATGAGAATTGCCAGAAACTGTTCGAGCCGCAGCGTTTGTCTTGTACTGGAGTACTCAAGAAGCATTGGCGCGCGTGTGTTTAAGTCCGCAGTCCTCTCTGCTGCCGCGTGCATTACCTCGTCTTTGCCCCTCTCAGCCTTGTTGAAGAGGGTTCTCAAGTGCCCGAATACTAGCTAACAGAGCAGAAGCCAAGTGATATTACCGGCTCTGGCAAGAAGGGATTTCTTTCAGCAATTACTCTGAAAATCCTATTGATTGCAAAACTAGTGAGGAGTCGAAGAAGTGGGAAATCTGGTTACAATATGCGCAAGGTTGCTCGCTAGAGAGTAGGGCTCCTATAGCCTGGACTGGAACCGAACGAGAACTCCTATAGCCTGGACTGGAACCGAACGGAGAAATCGGTCTTCCTAGAACAAGGGTTTCATCCAAGCTGTTGCGTTTTTTTGCTTTGCTCTTCATTTATGTGATTTCTCATCTATTTTTCCGCGTTGTCGAAAAGTCATAGGGCTGCGAAAAGGCCGTAATTATCTACTACTATATCTAATACTATATCCAATGTCCTTGCGCGGAGAGGAATTCAATTCTCCTCCCTCAGATCACCAGAGTTGCGCGATCATTGAAGCCCAAGATTGTGCTTGAGCTTGGGCTTAGGCTTACGCTTACACCTTGGCTTCTGCTTGAGTCTATGGTTGCGCTTAGGCTTAGTCTTAGGCCTGCTACGAGCAAATGAGGGCTGTTCTAGTTGTAGCTGACCGACCTGTGGCGGAGAATGAAACACACTCGTGCAGAACTAACTGACTATCTCGGGAACGAACCCGTGACTCCGTCATAACACCGTCCACATCCTCATGATGCCTTCTACCATCTCCCCTGCGTTCTCTGTGCGATACACAATTTCTGTACACGATAAACTCGTGAAGGCTAGAAAGCTAAAGGTAAAAAAATGAAAACAAAAAGTTGAACAAAGATGTGGAAATCCAATTGCTGAATCGCTCTGAAAAATAAGGGCTCCTTTTGGAGTGGGAGTAATAATCTTAAATCATAGATAGGGTTTGTGGCTAACAAACAGCAATGTAATAATTTATGTACCACCTGTTTCTCTGCATTTCATAAACGCACAGATCGAAGGAATCCTTCCCGGAAAATCTTGCATTCTTTCCAACATGAATATGTCAGTTGTGATCACTAGAACAGCACACAAAGTTTCACGCATGAAGATTCGGTTTCCGAAGAGAAACAAACTTACAAAAACTACACTCTATGGACAATCGAAGGTAAGTGGCGCGGAGCCAAAGGCGGGCATGGAAAGAAGTCCGCCTTGGGGCGGCTACGTATCAGGCGACGCAATGAAAGAATCGGGTTAAAGCGCGCGATTTTGGAGAGTAGAGACAAATCGATCGATAGAATAGGATGCAGTAGAAGTGTGAGATGTAATGCAATAAGGCCAGAAAGAGTTTCTAGTGACGGCACTCCAAGAACCAAGTGGAAGCATTCCCGTCGCCAGCATTTGTGACAGATGTCCGGCGGTACTTTGAACGCGTAGCGTAGCAGCCCTTTCGGTTTTTCGAATTTTTACCAAAACAAATGCAATTTTTTTGTCTTTTCGTTCTTATCGTGAACGATGGGTCCCAAGCCAGTGAATTATGGGTGAGATAGAATCACGATTTTTCCGAGAACGATTCCTTAATGCCCGCACATAACAAGAGAGGGCGTAAAACGACGGACCTTATTCGAACCGTTCCCTGCGCTTTATTTTTCTTCTGTTTAGTGGTAGGGCGGTAGATTTTGAAGCTTTTTAGAGTTTTTTTTTGGACCCCAATGCCATCAGTGGAGGAATCTTCGAAGCAGAATCCTGGCAGAAGTCAAGTGAACGGTTCCGTTCAGTCTGCAGGATCAACCCTTAAAGAAAATCAACCCTCATAAGATGTGGCACTGCCTCGCGTGGGAATGCCCGGCAGAAGAGCACTAGTGCCCTGCAAAGGCAGCTTTAGCAGCTCCAGTTATCTCCGTCCGTAGCAGGCTATTATTTGACGCCCCGACCTCTGCTACGCTCTGCCCTCTCATACTGTCCTCACCATGCTCAGGCTTTCGCCTTAGTACAGCTGCAGGCTTTCTCACCTTAGCAGTGCGGCTGAGGGGCTAAAGGTTCGAAGAATAATTCCTTCTTTTACCCGCCGGTCCATTTTGTACCAGTACTTCCATGTTCGTGCACAAGAACCACACCATTTGATCCTGGTGCATGCCTTCAAAGCTTACTACTGTAGTGTTATTAGTCATTTGCGATCATTGTCAGTCATGATCATAAATCCTTAGAACGTACACGTACAAGTCCCATGGATCCTGAGCACTGGGTTGATCCATTACATTACTGCGTGGTGCTTGAGTGTATTGACAGATTAATGAATCATACACGTGTTTCGTCCATAGTTTGGAATTTTCTTACGTAAGCAGCCGGGTTATTTGCAGTATCGACTGTGAGGGTGCAGCTTTCTATAGTATCACAAGACAACTGACAAGGTAGAAAAAGTTGAGAAAAAAGGAAGGCTCATCATTGCTTAGTGCGCCATGCTCTCGACACTAGCGCCGAGATTAATAATTCCTTTTTCATCTGTCGCATCTTTTTATTATCAATTTATTTTTTATTTATTACCGGTACTGACCATAAAAGGTCGCCAAACATCATACTAGCAGGTAGCCTTTTACGATGACCTATGGAAGAAAACGAAAAAAAGTACCGATTGCAAGAGAACCTATAACGAAGAATGGGAAGGGAAAAATCCCATAAAATAATTTCATTGCTGTCAATTTAGAGCCTTTATCGAAATTGGTGTAATGGATACGGAGCAATATGAACGGTCGGACTACTTCTTCATCGAACTCGGCCCACCCATTTGGGCAAAGAAGATGAGCGGTGAGTGACTGATTGTCGAATTTTTGCTCAGCTCCTAGCTGGCTAGAGAATTCTTTCAGAATTTCCTTTTAACTTTCGGTAGGTGTCTTTCTTCTTACCTATTCTTCTGAGACACTTCTCCTTGGAATGTTGTCTATTTCTTGTGAGAGCTTCTAGTGTGAAGCACAGTACGATGTCAATCGTGTCGTGTTTCGTTTCCGCAATACATTTGCACAAAATTTCTACAACAGCTCTGCAATTGTTGCTATGAGTTTGATCAGCCCTCTCCTTACCGCTAACTGCAGCACTTATGCAAGCACTGATTCAACAAACAGAATTCACAAGGTGAACCGATTAGAACTCTGTTAAAAGGCATGGCGTAATTCGAGTGTCGATTCTCAAAACTACTAAAAATCGGTGTTATCAAAAAAGACCGAGGTGTGGTATGGATTATCGCGGCCCCCATCTCCTGCTCTTTGCGCTTTATGGTTAGGGGAAATAGAACATGGATTGTTTGAGGAAATTCTCTATCCTAACACTAGATGCTAAAAATCTGTACACCTGTATCCGCAGGACCCCTCCCCTTTACATAAATCCGCCTACCCGAAATGAACAGATCACATTGATGTTATTCCGTTCCACCTCAGACCAAATGGGTAACACCAGAACATCGGATAGCTATCGGGACGATTTCGACAAAATTTCACGCCATATTAATAGAACGATCGTTGCTCTGGTACACTGCGAGAAGGTGATCGCCGCGAATTTAAAAGCTCTAGAAGAGTACAGGCGGTCTGCGGTACAGCTTATTGCTACTAACTTCGCGGTGAAGTTAAAGTACGGAAGAAAGAGAATGACGGGGTGGAAAAGAAGAAAATAACAATGACATCCCCCCCCCCCCCCCCCCCGCCCCCCCCCCCCCCGCTCCCCCCCCCCCCCCCCCGACCCCCCCCCAACCCACGATACCATACAGACGGAGAAAAAAGAAATTTGGAACCGATATGATACAAGACCGTCAGTATTTTCACGTGCTTTTTAGCAAAAATTAAGCTCCTTCCATCGCAAATTTTTGTTGCATTTTTGAATTTAACGTTTTTTTAAATAGTCAAGTTCTTATTCAGTAAGGGGGCATATAATGCGACAGTTCATATCGCCTGAACCAATCCACTTTTCCGCGGGAAGAAAGCTCTGAAGTGCTTGTGAAAGCTGGAGCGAAATCGTTCACGCACCCAGGGGATTTCCTATCCTTGCAAAAACTGGAACTTCTGTAAGGATCTAAACTGTTGTGCCCACATGCCCCTCTTTCCTCTTAATTGACTGAGTACCGATAATTATTCAGGAACATTTGAATATTACCACTCTGCATCCGCACTTTCAGTTCAGCACAAAATTACACAACCTAGGTTTACCACAGTGGTGTCCATGATATTTATATATGTAACAATAATTTATATATAATATATAACTAGTAATTAAATATATATATACATGAAGGACAGTACTGATAGTTGTCGCCATGGGCCTGTCAACTGAACATTGCCCTTTGCTAAAGTTGTTGGGTTATTTTTGACAATATTTCGAACAATACCATTTCTCTCTCAAAATACATATACCAATTTCTTGTCACCATCTCTCTTTTCCGGGCGACGTAGAAATTTGAAGGAAAACCTGAATTACCTTAACCGCATTCATTCGAAATGAGATGTGATCCAAGTTAATCAGCTCAAGCCCAGAGATGCAGGAGCTGCTGGTAGAATATTTCAGTCACAAGTTTCATGGTTTTTTATGAGCAACCATTTCCATAAATATCCGCGATCTTCATATTGATCATTAATTTGGACATGGAATAAGGATAAGAATGACAGCACGTCGAACAAAACGTTAGGATGCGCCGGGCCCTCTACTACGCTTCGAAATTGACGAAAATCTGGAAATGTACAGAGTCCATCACGATAAGTAGTGATTTGCCGGTGCTTAATTCACTTTCTCCCCGCGATTAAGCTTTTCATAGAAGCTGATCGACTCTTTTGAGGCCGAGCGGGTTAAACGGGGCTCTAGGGTTATGGGATCAAGAGCAGTACCGCGACTCTTACCTGCGCGCTAAAAACGCAGCTCTCATAGGTTGAAATAACCCCGCTTCACCGATGTATCAGCGGTACTTTGTTAATCGGACGCGATTTGACCCGCGTAGCATTCAAAGGTGGCATTCAACGTGCCCCTTTCTCAAACTTGGTATCGACATAGACCATTTGCAAAAGTGTTGCTAAAAATCATGAAATTTGTGGCTGAACTCGTGATGGAATTTCTTGAATGCCTCTGTAGCTTAACGTGTCGTGATTGTGCAGATCTGAGCAAGGTGCAAGAACGATTCCAACGTCGTATGGAACAGAAGCGCAGAGCATCTATTGCTTCGGAATCCAGAGAAAGCAGTGAACCAGGTTAATCCCACGTTTCATCTGTCTGATGCTCGTGTTACCTTTTCCTCACTACTTCTTACGAACGGATAACACTCTCCACATCACCGCTCCCTTTCCTTTGTGATAAACCTTTTTTCAAACTTTCCCATTTGATCAAACCCCTCTGTTTAGTACCGTGAAGTTGTCCAAGAGAGCCACAAGTGAGTACACGTCCTGCACGAGCGCAGGTGTGGAGCTAAGGAGGGATAAACCAACCGCATACTATAGTTAGACGTCAAGGGTCGCATTTTTGGTTCTGACAATGGATTGAACTGGACCGAAAAATTTGTCAAGGGAACTAGGTTTAAAGGCGCTATCCACATCATAACGATAGGAGGAGGGGGAAGGGCTATCCATCGCTTCAAATGGGGCAGCTCTGAAAAGGAGTATAAGTGGATCCGCCGTCACTACATCATGAGGTATTGGGTTCAGGTATGGATAAAGGATAAAGTTGGTCAATCCCTTTCCCGTCTTTTTGGGGTGCACTACGCATTCTACTTTTGCGTATTCGTAGCGCTTTGATGCAATTTTGCCTATACAGTGACTTGCCGGGGCCGCCCGATCCAAGTAACGCGGAGGGATGGAAGGCTTGGTTGGCCGGGCGACTCACGACCCAGGATTTGATCCCCGGACCGCTCGCGTGGTAAGCGTGCCACTTGCCACTACACCACTTCCGCCCAATTTGGGTTCAAGAAAGATCAGTTTAGTCGAGTATTTTACATTTTGTTCCGGTGAACACACAATTCGGGGGGCTTAGTCGGTGAAACAGGCCAGTTTGGGGAGGCATCCCATTTTGCTCTCCAACGCTAAGCCATAAGGATACAAGAGTTTTCATGACACTTATTCGATTCACTTAAAAAATTATCTCTGATAGGGACCGTGTAATGTGGGTGTACTCCTAGCACGCTTTCAGATTGGGGCCTGCTGTGGTCCAAGGAATGGTCCCGGCTAGGATAGGGCCATCCTTTCCTAGGCACAAATGTGTAG